TAACTGCAGGCCACATCGTGCGAACCTGGTGAAGGATTTCCTTTTCGAGGAAGGAATCGTACGAATAGAATGGCCAGCGTGTTCTCCAGCCATGAATCCAATAATGCAAATTTGGTACGCTCTAGGAAGACGAGTTGCTGGCCGCCAACCCCCCTCACAAACTCTCCAAGAACTGGAAAGAGCTCTTCTGGAAGAGTGGGACAGAATACCCCAACTTGTGATTAATAGCCTCATTGACTCCAATCCTCAGAGGTGTTCAACTTTGCTTTGCCGTCCGTGGAAACCATACCCCCTACTGAAAATGATTTCCTTTGAAGAAAACACTTTTCCTTATTCTTTTTACCTCATATGCACAAATTGTGTTTCTTTCCTTTTGTACACAAATGCGCAATAAAATGCATTTTTTTTCTGCCAAACATGTGTAATTTATTCTCATATAACCTACTACGTCTGTCGACCATGTATCAATCAGCTAAAACGTTTCCCAGCCACAAGATCCACCTAAAACCGCAATATCCTTTAATTGTTTTGAGCAGTGTATATTTAAATTCTTTAAAACAATACTGTTGAGCAAAAATCTAGGCAGATTAACCGAGTTTCTTCGCAGTTTGTTTAAGAAACAGCATACTTTTTGGTTGGATTTTATGCATGATGACCCAAGCTAGTATGGCGCAGGTAAATGTTAGCCTTATCAAAGAGACCTAGAAAGTTCTTTTCCTCTGGAAGCTAATTTTTGATTTTCCTTCTAAGCAAGTGGAGTTAGCATTAGTAAGCACGTATTCAACGTGTCATATTGGGGTAAGTTTGTTATCCAAAATGACACATTTACAATAAAGTATTTTGTTGAAATAACGAAACGATATACTATATCATTGGCAGAAATATAATTTAATATTCTAATGTTCTTATTATAGCTTCTGAAGATAATAATATTTCATTGGGTTTGTTTTGATGCGTTAAACCATTTGATGACAGCGAGAAATACTGTTAACATTAAATTGGAGGCTGTTTAGGTGAAGCGCTTAAAATACCTATATCATTTGAAGACTTGGCAATATACCCTGTTTCTCAAACTGAACAACTCTGGACTTATATGCATTGACTAATTTGCATTTTGATAGAAGCCGACAAAATTATAAATGAATGTACACACAAAATATTAAGATAACTGGTTAATTAGAATTAAAAATCTGTAAATAATTTTGGAACAAATCATATAATGACAAAAATAAATTACAAGTAACATTTTCTTTTATTGTGATGAAGAAATTATGGCAGTATAAACTATCATGCGTTAAGTATCAACCATAACGAAGCTTGACTGAAGTTTAAATTTCCTTATTCTTACTATCTAACTTCCATTATTCTCGGAACAATAGTTTTATACACTCTCTAAAGGCATGGCCTGGAAATGGACAATGAATGTTTCTCTCTCAAACCGAACTGGTTGAGTTACTGGTTAAAAAACTTCTGTGGTTTAAAACCCATGCATTTTAAGAATCATAAAGTAAAACTGCTTATGCAGTTTACAAATAAACTATTTTTTTTGCATATTTTAAATAATACCTAATTTATCTTACAGAAGCAAATGCAATATAACTTCTATATGAAAAAGAGCATAATATTTTTCGCAAGTTTACAGCTTAGTCACATTCTGAATTTCAGAGGAATCATGTTTTCCTATTTGACGATGTCTTTTTTTCTTTTTTATTTCACATCACATATATTTGTTTCGGGCCAGAAGGTAACTAGTCAACAATTCAAAGGCCTTTTATTCTTTAACTTTACTTTACTTTTTTTTTGCATTACTCGAGTATATCGCATAACTTCAAATAAAGCTCTTAGTACGTTAATTTGTACTTTTCCACTAACAATCGGTGCAGAAATGGAAAGCACCTACATGAAAGTCCTTCATCTTAAACAATCTACAGAAATTAACAACCAAACCTTTCTGGCATCCACCCATGAAAAGAAAGAAAATTAACCCTAATCTTATTCATCCAGCACTTTGGTTCAGCAAAATAAATTTCCCCGTGTCTAACGAAAAAGGTCAATTTCAAGTAGTTCATCTCCAGTTTCATATACTGATGGATAAAAAATTGAAGGAAAATTTGATTCAGTGGTCTCTTTTCAAATTGCTCCTTCAAATATCATCAAATACAAAGGTCATCTTCATAATAATTACAGTGTTTTCCAAGCAGAATCAGCGATAGAAGCAGCGATTGAAATAGCCATTGTCAAAAATCTTAACGAATTTACCATTAGCAGCTAGCTCAGCGATTAAGAATCCCTTACCTTCTTCTCCATTGATTCCGACATAAATTCTCTCCTTACCAAAATTTCAAACTGCACAATTCAAATTTCATGGATCAAAGGACATAGTGGATATTTTGGTAATGTTCAGGCAGATAAATTAGCCAAAGAAGCAGCTGTCAATCAGGATGGTACTGAACTCATCCTTCCATGGCCTCGTGCAAATCTAAAGTACCAACTAAAACAACTTGCTTCAAAGTCTTGGCATGATTTGTGGAATATTGCTTCACAGGGAAGACGCACATATATCTTGATCCCCAATGTAAGCTTCGCATCTCTGTATTCGAATCTTTCGTTAAATTACTATATAACAGGATATAGATATTTCTCCACATATTCATGTGCAAGAAATATGGCGAACTTTGATATCTGCACATATGGGGAACAGGGAACTCATGATCATTACACTTTCTCATGCCCCTTAACTGAGGATATTCACATAAAATCCACACAAACTGATCACGTGGCATTCTAAAGATTTCTAATTAAAGATAAACATCTCTATCCGAAGTTTCAAAACATTATGCAACGACACTCGTCCTACAGCCTAGATATTTGTCAAATATAAATTCTCATGCTGTATAAATTTAGTGAATTTTAACATCCTGTGAATATGTATAAAATAACTCAACTTGGGAACCTAATCAAGTGTAATAACTTTAACCTCATGGATACGCACCTCTTTAGTATTACTATTATTACTGTTCATTATAACATTGTGCTCCAAATACATATTATAGTTATCTTATTATGTTCATCTGTTATTTTTGTTACACCAAAACAGATGTTCAATTTAATTTGTGAATTGTGAATTTCAAATTGTAATGAAACTATATTGTAATCTCTTTATGTCCTAGATCATTATTTGTAATAAATACTGGATGCGGGGCAAAAATTTAACCAACACTTGCAATTTTATTATTTACTTTTACACAAATTAAGTAAACGTTGGTTCGTTTAATATCTTGCACACATCATTTAAAAAAAAATCTGTTCTGACTCCCTGTACGAAATCCTTCTCGTTTCATCATTCGCCGTAACCAGCCTTCACTCGCCTTGAATTGCGATGCAGGAATGTCTTCTCGTGCTGCAGCAAGCGCTCTTATTTGGCACATTTCCTGTCTTACTGCGTACCCTTGAGCCCGTATATCACGAACAACCGCAACTACTTTTTTTCGAAGTTCGGAAACTTACATTTCGAACCAAACGCAGTCCTTGTTTTGCTCGTTACCGTCAGTTGATTCACGCTGTTTGTTCCAATTGCGCACACACTTTTCATCCACCTTATATACTCTTACTACTGCTCTTTTTCCATTTTCCTGTGCAAAATCTATGACTTTCAGTTTAAAAGACGCTGTATAACTGCTGTATTTTCCCATTTCAAGCCCGCTACTTGTTAATCACCATGAATTCCAAATGATACTATGAATAACAAAAGAAAGCTTAAAATATGCGAATGCTTCAAGGAGGAAGGAGGGGAAAGTAATTTTCTTACAAAATAGTATTTCCTGGAAGCCAGTGTGATGAAAACCTGTTTGCGTCTACCGAGTGGATTGCTGGCGCCGATGTTAAGACTGAATAACAGCTGCACCAGAGTGCAATGAAAGTCTCTGCTTTCCATCCTAGCGCCAACCAAAGACAAAATAAATATATATTCTTTCTTTAAAGATGTTTATTGATTAATGTTATTGACTAACGGGAAAAAAAGGCAATGTTAAATAATATATTAAAGTAAAAAGTTCTTTAGTCTTTGGGGTGTGGACATTGTGCGGGTAACTTTTTTTTACATAAATTTATCTGTTGCGGTGCGGACATTACATGAGTGCAGACATTACGCGAGCGTATACGGTAAGAATGATGATGATCATTCACGTTTTGTGAATCGATTTCTCAAAATATATAATACTACAAAGTATTATATATCTCAAAATATATAATACTTTCTCAAAATATATAATACTCATCAAATTTCAGTTTGTAAGGTTCTTACGTTAAACTAATCAGTTATTATTATTTTGATCTTTTCGTATTCCTCACCAGAATACAAATTAGATTGCAGTGTATTGAAGTTGAGCATTCTGGATCCCGTGTAATAGAGAGAATTTCTGCCATTCGCGTAGCATGGTTAGAATTCTGCCATCTTTAACTAAATAAAGTATTTCGTGCTTTACATGTTCTTGTGGACTATATCTTAAATTTTCATGCCGGTAAATTATTTTAGATACTTGTAAATTAGTTATTTAACTGTGTACTCTTAGATTACGGAATCGATGATATTTAAACTTATTTGACTGTTATTTAATTTGCATGGTCACAAATTGTGGTTATCTGTAGCATAAGCAGTGTTCTGTTTTGTTAAAAGTTTAGTTTAATAAAATGTTGTTTAAACCTTTGCAAGTCTTTGTTATGTTTGTTATTGCAGACATAGCAATAACTTTGCTATCTATTTAGTAAGGTTGTAGGACTAGAGTTCAAATATCAGACTGTATCCACCTTGTAAACATCCACCTTGTAAGTTTCTCCAACAAATAAGATATACTTCAGGTTTTAAAATTTTATATGATTTTCGTGTTATTTCTCACGCATTTAGAATTTATTTCATTTAAAATCCTTACAATCAGTGCTTTGCAAATAAAACAAAAATTATGTCTGTCAGAATAATTTGAGTTTTCCATAAAAACAATAAATTTAATTTTAAAATATGCTTTTTATTACAAACAGCACAAAATAAATATACATACTTTTTGTATTAGGCATTCATTTAACATAATAAACATATAATGCACACAGTCGAAAACTATGTTACAGGAAACGCAGCTTTTCATAATAGCAAAGAAATTGCGGCCAACGTCAATGCAATACCATTCTAATAAAACAAAATATTTTAATGCCCATGGCGGCCATCCATCCCTTATCAAGCAGTACATATGTGAGATGTAAGACTAAATGTAATGGTTTTAATTCTTAATAAATCTCCATTTTCGAGAAAATTCGAGATGAAACTCAGAAAAACATATTGTTTAACACTGAAGATCACTAAAATACAAACTTCTTAAAACATGCATACATCTCGCCATAAGGATGAAGAATAAATAACATTTCAAACCCCTAATGTCCAATCCAAATATTCTAAGCAAATGAGAGGAAAAAAAGTAGGTTACTACAAATATTTACAAATATAATTTTCTAAATAAAAATACAAAAGTATATATTATTCTCTTTCTTAAAATGAAAATAACTTCTATAAACATTAAATGATTATTAAAATTATTTAAAATACATAATTTCTATTAAAATGTTTTCATGGAATATTTGGATTTCATAGACTGCAACAAGGGCTTCAGCGATCATCAGATGAATACTCGAAACATCTTCGTTATTTAATATTTGCTTTTCCCTTGTTTTGCTCCTCCATAACCTCCACCTGGAGCTACTCCATAACCTCCACCTGGAGCTCCACCTCTTCCACTCCCACCTCCTGCAAAACGTTTTGACAGTGCTTAGCTTAGTAAAAGAACGATCCTATTGCTGGAGAGCAGATGTAAAAGGAAGCCAAAAAACGTATAATAGATATACATGCCAAAAAAATGTACATAATTGCAGACATTTATTATTCCATAAATAACATATAATTAAAAAAATTCTGAAATTATCATAGTGCTTTAATGAGATTAGATCCATCATTGGATAATTTTTATCTTTAAAATCTCTAAACCATTGATTTTCAGCTTAGATGCTACTATGCTACTGCTTCCCTATGAACGCTGAGGAGATCCGGCGGGTACATTACTAGTCCGACAGGCAGTTAGATGGCATTGAGGAACAATTAGGCATTAATAACATGGGACATTTGGTTGCCTAAATATTTTTAAACAACTAAATAATAAATATTATTTGAGCATACAAGTTTAAAGTATATTATTGATTATACAAATATTAGAAATACGCGTTTTTATAAGAAACATATTTATCTAAAACACCAAAAGAATGACCTACAAGTCTATGCTTTCAGTGATATCCAGTGCACAAATGTATCATATTTGATGAATATACAGATTAAGAAGTCCAGGGCACAGAAAATTTGCTTGTTTTGCCAAATTTATTATTATAAATCCTATGAGAAATCTGTAATTGTTATTTTCCGTTCAGCTCTTTGCCAATATATTTAATGCATCTGATATGTTTAACATATACGACTTACTTATCAACAGCTGAGTTGCTCTGCTGTCTGTATCAGCATTTGTACTCAATTTGTGGAGCATTCTATTTTTGCTTGGCCCAGCCAAAAATCTCTATGGAATATTAAAATTTGTAGCGGAATTTATAACGTTACTTCGGAAGATGGGTATTTGTGACTTGTGGTTATTAAAGAGACCCTGTGAAGACCCTATGCAGATTCAGCACAAAGTCTTGACTACAGAATTATAACAAACTATTTCATGCCGTTATTAAAATACGCCATAAAAGAACATACCGTGACCTCCAACTCGGGTGTATCGATCTTGTATACCGGCAGGGGGTTGCTCAGCAATTACTTGCACATCAGCTGGGCTTTCCTTACCGTCAGTGCCAGGTTCATTGGTCCTAATATTGGCTCGGAATCCACCAGCATCAGCGATATATTCAACAACTCTGTAGAGTCCTTGATTATCTGTGTAGCCGTAGGTACCGCTCACACCTCCATTAGCATCTCCTTGTTCGTTACGGTAATGGACATTACCTTGTTCATCGCGTGATTGGTAATCGAAGTTGTATGGTTGTGGAGGTAACTAAAGAAGAAAATACAGTTTATGTAATAGAATGTGTATTTCAGTTATTGCGTAGTCATAACACAAAAAGAAAATGCATTATTTTTATTTTAATTCAATTGCTTGCACATCAATACATGAAAATATTGATAGTAAAAAAGGTTTAGCTCCTAAAATTGCAAATACATTGATAAAGGAATACAAAATTCATTCTTAATGAAGATCAAATAATTTTATTCCGAAATATGAGCAGGCATTAAATTACGATGGGTTAGAATAATAATAATAATACCAATATTAAGAAGGAAATATTTATTAGGTTGTACGGTTATTATTTAAATTAATCAGTTATTTACAGTTTAAGCCTTTACCATAACAACCTCTTTCCGTTTTCTCACCAGAGTACAAATGAGATAGATAGTATTTAAAGTGAGTCTTTTTGGAGATTTAAAAGCCAGAGCCTGTTTCTCGCTGTGCGAGCACGCTTTCCTCCCAGCTCCGACAGTTGTAACTGTTCAACCTTGCTTTATATTTGCTGCTGTCAATTTGATTTTTGACGCTCCGATAAAAGTACTGAGCCAGCTTCAAGTGTATTCATAATTGTGTAGGTATTGACTACTATTTCACTTTTTAACTTGAATATGACTGTTCCTTTAGTCGCATCCCCACGAGCTGTAGCTAATGTTGTTAGCATAAGAAAGTGCATTTATGATCTATATTCTATTTAAATAAAAAGATTACTTAAGCCTTTGCACGACTTCGCAATTATTTCAAACATAGCGAGAATTCGCTTTATGTATGTTGGGGTTACTTGACTAATTACCAGTTCCTGATTAAGAGAAACTCACAAGGTCAAGAAAACTTACGTCTGATGAGAGCTCAAATGTTCAGTTCTGTTCATGGATAGTATTAGATATTGATTAATTTTTTTCACATCGTACAAGTTCTGAAATTATAATTTAGGAGGCTTAGACTTACATGCAACTTGTATTACATGTACGTTAGTACATTTCTATTTATTAAGAATTAAATTTCATAACCCGTTGCGTATTTGACTTTAAGAAGGAATGGCTTTTATGGAATGGAAGTAATTTAAAATGCCCTCTTTATTTTTTAAAATTTATTTGTTCATTATTTTGTTTTATTTTGTCATCTGATGTATTATAAAGTTTATGCTCGTAATGAAACTGAATCACTGAATTTTTTATACCGATAAAAATTTTAATTAATAACGTAACGAACTTAAACGAACTTGGAATTGCCCAGAGTGTCATCTCCAGGCTTTGGCAACGATTCCAAGATGATGGTAATGTGAGTAGATGTTACAGCACAGGTCGTCCCAGAGTTACAACGTCGAATGAGGACCGGTATTTGGCAGTTACTGCCAAAAGAAACAGGCGGAGCACAGCCTCAGACCTGTCTCGTCAGCTCTCTTCAGCCACTAGTACGACAATTTCAAGACAGACCGTGTACAGACGCTTAGGACAGATTGGTCTATATGCTCGTAGACCTGTCAGATGCGTTCCACTTACTGCAACTCACTGTCGCCTGCGGTTAGGCTGGAGTAGAGAGCATGCATTGTGGACACCGCAACAGTGGGCTTGTGTGATGTTTTCCGACGAGTCCAGGTTTAGCTTGCAGTCTGATTCTCGCCGGACTTTCATATGGAGAGCTCCAGGTACCCGTTACTACCAAGAAAACATCATTGAACGACACCGTTACGGTGGTGCAGGAGTGCTCGTTTGGGGTGGAATTATTCTGGGTTCCAGAACTGACTGACCTGCATGTTCAAATTAGAACCATGACAAGCCAAATCTATCGGGACGTCATTCTGGAACAACATGTACGTTTGTTTCGGGGCGCCATGGGCGCACTCTTTGTGTTTATGGATGACAACGTCCGTCCTCACCGTGCAAACATCGTAAGCGAATGCCTTCATTCGGAGGATATCACCCGTATGGACTGGCCAGCATTCTCACCGGACTTGAATCCAGTAGAGCACGTGTGGGACATACTTGGCCGACGAGTTGCAGCCCGTCAACCTCCTCCTACATGTCTACCGGAACTTCGGAGAGCATTGCTTTTTGAGTGGTGTAATATCCCCCAAGATCAGATCGATAATTTGATACTCAGCATGCCTAGGCGTTGTACGGACTGTATTGCATCGTCTGGGAGACATACAATGTATTAACAATCATGCCAACCATGTAATATTGGTTTTTTGTAAATAGGGTTTCTTTTTTTTTTTTTTTTTTTTTTTTTTTTTTTTTGTAATTTGCTCCAGGGAGAAAAAATCGCTAATTTTTTTAATAATATCAAACATATAGCATCTTTTTTCGCTCTTTACCTTTTCTTTAATAAATAAGCTTTACAAATAAGTCAAATTTGTTTTGCTTCTAACTCTTCCTTTGCCTGATTTTTCATCATCCTTAATTTATGGACATGAGTGTGTTTTAAGTTGTAAGGATTTTATTTTATTCTAACCAATTATTTTTATTTTTACTTTCCTTTCCCTCCTGTTGCCTGCCGGGATGTAAATTTTTAATGATGTAGTATGCTAATCTAAGTGTGTTTCAGAATCAGTATTTAAGCTGCGTTTCAAGAGTTTGAAAAGGAGTAGTAGCGGAGTTAGTTCCGAGTTTATGCTGCGTATTTGAAGTTAGTTGCCTAGTCGGTCTTAGACACCTTTCAATTTATACTGATATTTCTAGGCTCAGCTTTGCTGTGCATAGCGGATTTAACGTTTAGTTAAGCCAGACGTTAGCCATCTTAATTTAATGCGCATTTTACATTTTTATTTTCTGTTCTTTTAGTTAGCCACAAATGGTGGTGAATTGTGAGCACCAATTGGGTTCAACTGTTTAATTTAGTTCATATAAAAAGGTTATTTAAAACGTTCTTCTGCAATATTTATTCTTCAAAGCCATAGCGAGTATTCGCTACTTCGTCTTCTAAGTAGAGTCTACATTTTATGCTACCAAAGAGAGTGAGACGTTATAAAGTCTAATTTTAAATTTAGAAAAAACTCTTACGTTTGATCCTCCATAACCACCTCCTGCTCCTCCTCCATATGAAGTACCAGCTCCGCCTCCGTAACTGCCTGCTCCACCTCCATAGCTTCCTGCGCCACCACCATATCCAACTGCATAGGCGTAGCCGAAGAGTACCATTATTACAATGAAAACCTAAAAAAAATGGTTATCTGAGTTACATACAAGTAAATAAATGAGAAAATTGTAATAAATAAAATAAATAAGATAATAAAAGATCAGGCATTTTCTTAAAAAATTCAGATTTAATTGCAAATAAATAACAACTCAGTTGATTTATGCATAATTGTTGTATAAAATTTCTGTAGTTAAAGAAAAAAAATTAAATTAAAAGATAAATCCTTATCTTTTATTAAATACATGAATTTCTTGTCGGCAATTTTATATAGAAAAATACAAATAATACAGTTTTTATATCACATTTACGAGTATGTTCTCAAAAGTATATCATAATAAAAGCATTTATTTCTTAACCAAAGTGATGTATATTGTTGCCTTGTACGGGTTCATCCATTTGGAGTGATTGATGACAACATTTGATGAAGAATCAAAATACAATTTATTCGTCAGTATTGCACAGGAGATTTCCAAAGATGAGTTACCAGTTGTCCAAAAACTACAATAAAGACGCTGACAGTCAGCAAGACAGTCTTCAGGATATAATGGTGAAGCCAGCTTCACACAAAGCACTGAAGTACAGCTTACGACTCGATCGATCGCTCTCGAGCTGATGGTTGAACTCAAGACACTTATACTGAACTCAGCATACTACTAGATACTCTCCCACTCCCATACAGACAGCTTACAAGCAGAGATATAGCTTCTGACCTGCCTTCGAGAAGATTCTCGGGAAAACCGGTAAGAATTCATTCTAGAATGTTCTCGATCTGTCTATATCACGTCGCCAATTTTGTGGGCAAACCTTTCGGTTAAGGTTTTTATGCCTTTAGTTAACTTACATGCAATAGTTGTGGAATTATCAACAATTTAAAAGTTTTTAGCCTAATTTCCGATTACTATGCCGTCCATGTTTGTTTACATTTAAAACTTACCAGAATAGTGGACTTGTTGCCAATCTAGAGAGACTAAGCTTTCCAATAACAAAGTAAAGTTTTCTTTTGTTATTGTGAATTAAATTATACTTAATTCATTATGGAATTAACATTTAGGTTATTAGCTAATTTTTATATAGAAACTGTAATTAATACTGTATAATTTTTAATTGTAAACTGTATAATTTTTAATTGTAAAAATTATTTAACTGTTTTAACTGTATTTTTTGTTTTATGTTTTTCTAAATTTTAATGAAAATATTTTGAATTTTATGTATTTTTGCCTTGCCGCGAAGTGAGAAGTGAATTAATTAGTAGCGCATGCGCATTTTGTAAGCGGCTCTGAATCGTCTGCGAAAAGTTTTTTTTTTTTTTTAAATTTGTTTAATTTCTTTTATATATCGTTTTAGATTAGTACAGTATTTGAATAGAACTTATCGTAATTCTTCAGATGATATAATTTTTGTACACTCTGAGTTTTAAAATGAATGTTAATGCTGTTAAGTGAACATAGAGGCGAAGTGTCGCTGTGGTATATAAATTTAGTGATCTTAAAAGAGTGCATTTATTCTTCAAATTCAAAATTCGTTAACTGTTAACTCAATATGTTTAAATGAAATGCGGAAAAATTGCATATAACTTAATATTTCGTAGAAGAAAGTCATGTGGTGTACATATCAGATTTTTTCTTTTTGCTGAAGTATAAGAATAGTGAATGAAAAACAGCATATTTTTAAAACAACCTTTGAAACGTGAAAGAATGCAGAAAGGAAACATATATCCTTAGCATACGTTAAAAAGCGAAATAAATAATTTGAAAGACCGCATTAACATAATTTTGATCTCAGTTTTAATTCATATTAACCTATTAAATAAAAATTTCAGTTTTATGAAACAGCATTTCCTTTAGTCGAACATTTAGAATTTCACATTTCATATTATTATTCCACTTTAAATGGAAAAAGATATTCACATGAATATAGTCTGACTGTTAAATAGGTACATAAAACTCGAAACTGGGATTCCAGACTTTTCGGAGCCCAAAATTCATCTGCAAGTTCTCATAAATTTATCATTGCCCCAGGAAAACAAAAGAAAATTGTCAGTCGGGGGCCTTTGATAGAAGCTGTGCTTTGACTTAAAATGGCATAGTTAGACGCTGCTTATCAAAAGAGAAATGAGAATTCCAAAAACATCACAGATCATAAAATCTTCAAAATAGTGAACTTATTAATATATACAAGTTAATTTGCTTTCTACTAATTGTTTTATTATTTATTATTCAAATACTTAAAATGAGAACTTATTTATAGTTTCATTTTAAGTATATAGTTTCACTCCTATTAACTGATATCTTCTATTTCCCTTATCAAATATAAAAATTAATAGCCCAAAGGGCCAATTTGCTCAGAAGGGCTATTCATTTCGTTTTGGCATTTTGCTTGGGTCACTATAAATGGCGTTTCCCTTTTCAAATTGTTGCCAACAAATATTAAAGCTCTGCGTTATATTTAAAGAAATCAAATAATGAAGAATCTGCATGAATGTACTATGTATGTTTCTTGCAATGTGAAAAAACTTCGGTACTTAGAGACATCAAATTTTGGGCATCTGAAAGCCCAAATTTGGAATTTGTTTTATTATCCAATTCACATTTTGTAAAACTTTAACGAATTTTTGATTAACAAACTCAACGATTTCAAAGCGAGTAATTCCAGCATTATACCCAAAAAAAAAAAAAAAAAAAAAAAAAAAAAAAAAAAAAATATCTCTAGCGCGCGAGTTTATGTATCGGAAATTCTAAGATATGCTCTTTTAAAATGATTTTGCGATATCGCTGTTGAATTGAATTTTATAGTTTAAATGCAAAGAACAGGATACTTAATAAATAAAGATAACATCCAAAACTTTAAAAAAATTCTTTTTGGGCGTTCAGATTTTTTTAATTAAAAGCGTTTGTTCAAAGTAATAAGAGAAGTCATCAGAAAAGCGATGTAATCGTTTTTACAAATACTTAAAAAACAAAGTTACATTACACGGTAGAAACCACTAACACATAAAATAATAAAAATATGTACTGAAAACAAATTGGGGGCTTATATATATATATAATTATAAAGCAAACTTTGTAATTCTAACTTAAGTTTGTTAAACTTTTAAGCAATATTTTGACTGTATTACACCAAAACCATTGAATGTCCGAAATATTTGTTTCAAGAAAAATACATTTATAGGTTTGACTTGTTTCGAGAAAAATGTAGGTGCGAACTTTTAGGTCATAATTCTTTTAGACATGCATTTGAAAATTAAGTAAAGTACAGAGTCATATTTTTATTCAGCAAATGATATTACGAACTTAAATTTCTGATAGCAGTACTTTAGCTACAACATCTACTTATGCGCAAATATTTAAAAATCTTAGATTAAAAATTTCTACAATTGAGATAATGTATATTCAAAAAGCCAAGAAAAAATAACATTACATTTCAAATGAGGAGCAAACCTATGAATTCTCTGAAATAAAATATAACCAAAAAAATTAATATATTCTATGAAATAAATTATAACCATAGGATCACTTTTTCCTCCTTAAGAACGAAATAAAAGAATACAGTGACTTCACCTGAGAGAAATGCATCTTGTTCTTTGAAATGAAACTCGCAAAAAGGTCTAGAAGCTGAATGATACGGGCTGACAACCAAGTGTAAAGAAGATGAGTTGATGGCTAATGATGGTTCGGAGCATACTCTTTTATACATCACCATCCTCGTGACGTCAGGTCTGGGCTAAGCAAGTAACATTACATTGTAACCATTCTTTTTGTTTTTGCGTCCGTCTAACTGTTGATTTGCGGCATTCTCTGATCTACTTTTACTTTTCATCTTTTCCGCAGCAATATAACTTTATTTTTATTCAAGTCGAACAAGGGTAAAGGTGAATCTGGTAGTGTTCCTTGCATGCCATTCAGACAGCAGATGTAGGGTGGGAGGATACGAAAGTAGGTAAAATTGCGAATGTAAGACTAAAATTATAATTTATGCACGAATTCAGAAAGAATAATTTTGGAGAGCTTAGGGAATACGTATTTCACTTTCCGCATAATTGAACTCAACGAGATCGAAATTTGACAATTTATTATTTGCATGAATTTGGGTTGTCAGGCAGCTGACCAACCTGTTGATGTTCTATTAACTATACGTTTGTCCCCATTATTAGTAGTTAGTAGAGGTTATTAGTGGAGATGCGTTTACTATAAGGAAGTAGTAAAATTAGTAGAGTGTAGCATCTTCTCTCAATTTATTCCAAGTAATTAAAAATGTAGCTACCCATCTTCTTTAATTTATCTCCTTTAATAATGGAAATTCCATAAATTGTCAGCCAAAATATGGATTGTGAGCAAATATTTAAATTAAAAGTCGTCATCTCTACATACAATAAAAGAAAGAGTCTGCCTGTGTGTCTGTGTGTCTTTCGTTCGCGCTGCGCGCAAGCTAATAGACCCACCACTACAAAATTTGGTACATAGGTGCATCTAGACAAGAGCCAGTGCACCTCGAAGCAATTTTTTCGAAATTCGAATTCGAATTCTTTTTATTTTATGTTTTGTGACGAAATCGCGTCATTTTGAGACATAATGGGCTATAGGAAAGTGAGATTTTACTCTACACACTCCAGTTTCACATCGTCATGAAACGTAGGCACTTAGCTATTTTACGAACTTAAAATAAATTTCGTGTTTCAATAAATCGATTAAATACGAATTTATTTAACAAAGTGAGATTAACACCTTTTCAACGGAATTTTTTCTAAAAAAGTTTATTTTAAAAAATGTACAGTTTAGTTTTCTTTGATTTTTGGACACGTTAAACTTTCATCCTTGCGACTGCTTTTACAAAAAGAATTTCGGAAAAATAATAATATTTTGTATATTTAAAAATATTTTTAAATGAAGCTTCCGAGTACACTTCCCACATCTCACATCTTTAAAAATGTTATTTTGGAAACAATTTTCCTTTCTTAGTGTTGTTGATGGATTTTTGATGAAATCGCATCATTTTGGATAGTTTCATTCTTTTTAGAAGTATGGGTTTGGCAACAATTTTTCATCGTATTTCTTATGTCACTGTTTTTAAGAGATGGGCATATTTCATTGTCATTTTTTATATATATAATATATTTTTATTGATTTATTCTTTGATAAAGTTGTTCTGCAGAGTAAAAGTCTGCGCGGATTTTTTTTGGTTTTTTGAGTTTCTTTCATGTTATTTTTTGCCTATTTCATTGTTTGTAAAATATTGAAAAGTTTTGCATTATTTTTTTTTCTTCAACCGAAAGTTGGTTAATTTTTTTATATGTAATATATATATATATATTTATTTTATTTAATTTGTGTTTTTTTTTTCGGAAGTTTTCTGCAGAGCAAAATTCTGCGCAGTTCTTAAATTTAACGTGTGGTGTTCCCTTCAGGCATTTTTACGGTACAATTAAAAGGCAGACGAAGGCTGGCAGCGTAGCTGCTAGTCAGAAATAAAATCACATTTCTATAGCGTTATTCTAATTATCTGCGTATCAGTTATTGAGAATTGCAGTGCCTCAGAGATGATTTTCTTTTTTCTGCAACCGAGTAAAATTAAACTTGTTATTCGCTATATTCATATTCACATGTTTGATGTAAATTGAAACAGCAAAAATTTAATGAAATGTATCACAATATTTCAGACACCTGCAGTTTGTTTTATATAACTACAATCCGAATAATTTTATCACTTTATTGCTTTGCAAAAACAAAAATTATATTTCTTAATTTTTACTTCAGTTGAACAGAAAAAAATTACACTTTTTATTTTACAAAAATGAAAAATAATTTCTTTGATTAATTTAAACCCATAAAATTAAAAGAAGGTTATTTGTAAGACTTCAAGCCTCTATTAAATAAAAATATCTGATGTATACACCACGTGACTTGTACAGATTATTAAATAATACGCATTTTTTCCTGCATTTAATTTAAACTTATTCAATTGAATTAAGCCTACTTCGTCGATAGCGCATAAACCACAATAGAATATATTCTTTCGTATACTGGTACACAATCACATTAGGATGTTAAGTATATATATATATGCACTTTTAAAATTCCTTACATTCATTTACCATAGCGACACTCTGGCGCTAAGTTCACTTAATAGTGTTAGATCTCATTCTTTTTATTACTCAGAATGGGAAAAAATTATATCATCTGAAAAAGTATCTAATCGTTGACACATGTTCTATTTAAATATAAATAAATTTAAAAATATGTATAAAAGAAATTAAATAAATGAAAAAAAAACAGTTTTTCATATACGATTCAGTACTTCTCATTCAATTAATTCAGTTCTCATGTTCGTGGCAAGGCAAAAATACATAAAATCTCAAAATATCTTCATTAAAAAAGCGTAGAAAAACATTAAAAAAAAAATTACAGTTAGAGTTTTTGCCCAATAATAAGCAATTCGGTCACAGGCAAAAAGGCAGATTTTTCGGTGAACAAAACTAAAAGTTTCCTTTTGGTCCCATTCGACAAAACGACACTGAATTTGCAGAAAGAATTAATTCAATATTCTGCTAAATTTCAAATATAAACAAGCATGGCTACTAAGGTTAACAAAAATTAGGTTTAGCCGCACTAACACAACTTTTAAATTGTTGATAATTCTACAGCTATTGCATGCAGATTAACTAAAGGCATAAAAACATTAACCGGAAGATAAGAACAACATAATTCAATCATTTTTAAAGAAAAATTGCGCAATTTACCAACATATAAGAAAAAAAATTAAGCTCACGGAGCTGAGTAATAGAGTGGCATATATACAAACTTTTGGTGAGGACATCTGCATGTTATAGCAGTCCTATATACAAAATTTCAACGTTCTGAGGCTACTCGTTTTCGAGTTATGCGAGATACATACATACGCGCATACGTACAGATGCCACGAAAAAATCTCTTCTGAATCCATTTTAAATCAGTTTTATAATTCGTTTGGGGAAGAAGAGTTATTTATTTATTTATTCTGTCCTTACGTACAGATATCACGCCACGCTAAAACATCTTTAAATTGCATTCAATAACAGTCAAAGCAGATATTTTCGTTGAAATATGATACCCGGAATAGTGATTACAACACTTCGTTTACTTCCTACAAGGAAGTAATTAATTTAATTATTTCATTTCATTTGACATAGGAGTTAATTATACGTATAATTAAATAAAATATAAATTCACTCTTTTATACCGTTCAAACAATGTATTTTCTGCTAAGATAATAAAACTTTTTAATTTTGTTTAATTAATGAGGGGGCAATTTGGAAAGTAACTTCCGTTGTGGCGTGGCGCTTGTAGTAATGGGTGGAGCGCAACCATTGTTACATCAAGCAATCTCTGATTCAGTATCCTAGTGAAAGTATCATAGTGCTAGTATTCAGTATCCTAGTGCTATTCTAGTGAGAGTATCATACTGCCACACGTATGCTGGCTGTAATGTCACAAAATATGAGCTGCTATTGAAACTCCCTCGAAATGCGGGGTAAGAGGAGTAATACGATTTAGGTAAAAGAAACTGCCAGCGACAGGCATTCATCGTGAGTTGTGTGTCGTATTGGGCTCAGTCATTCAGAATAAAGGTGCATGCAGTGAGTCAGCTGGTGATATTTTTGAAAGAAAGAAGAACAAACGTTATGATGGATCAAAGAGTGGGAGGCCGTCTGTAGCTAGTGATGATCTGGTCAAACAAATTAACGACAAAATTCGTAAGGCTCGTCGATTCACAATTTCGGAACATTCACGATAATTTCCGAACTGTTTTGTAGCAGGAAGTTACAGGAAAATTAGGCTACCGAAAGTTCTGTGCTCAATGGGTGCCGAAAATTCTCACAGTGACTCATAAAACCAATCGAATCTGCCTTTGTATTTCTTTTCCGTTACCACGCAGAAGAGGAGAATTTTTGAACAGAATATTGACTGACGGCGAAACTTGGGTAGCGCATGCTAATGCTGAGACAAAATAGCAGTCAATGGCATAGGGTCATACCGGTTATTTAACTAAACTGAGGGAAGCCCGTCATACCTTGTCAGCCAGGAAGGCTATGGTCAGCATGTTTTTGGATGATAATGGAATCTCGCTTGCCGAATTCATGGAATGTGATAACGGTAATCAGTTCTGAAGTGTACTCTAATACTCTGAGAAAACTGAAAAGAGGCATCCAGAACAAACGTTGCGGCCTGCTGACAACTGGAGATCTGCTTCTGCATGTTAACACTCACCCTCACAATGCTCATCGAACACAGCATCTTTTGCGCTCGTTCAAACGGGTACTGTTGCAACATCCTCCTGCAGCCCGGGCTTGAGTTCTCCTGATTAGTATCTATTCCTTACATGAAGAAGTGGCTTGGAGCACAGCACTTCCGTCACAAAGCGAAACTTCAAACCTCTATGACAAGTTGGTTGAAGTCATAGGCGGCTGAGTTTTAAAGAGAAGGGAATGGTAAGTTGGTAAAACGCTACGATAAATATATGAAGGTATAATGATGACAATGTTGAAAAATAGAAGACAGCTGTACCTTTCAGATCTGCATAAAAATTCGGTTCAATCTATGCCGGTCTTTTGCGTACAGCGAAACGGTGGTTAGTTTCCGAATTGCCCTCATAACTCGAAAAGAAGTTTCTGGTTTCAATTCTGATAACGTGCGAAAAAAATAAATGGATAT